TTAAAACAGGGTCACTGCAGATGTGATTCGTTAAGATGAGGTCATACTGGGATAGGGTAAGCCCTTAATTCCTTGCAAAGTTTAAGCAGGAAAACTGATGCAGAGAGGTAAAGACACCTATCCAAGGTCACACAGCAAATTGGCAGTTGGCATAGGTCAGTGCAGTGGAAAAGGTGGGTCCTGGGATACAGTTCCTTACAAGAAGAGGAGAGACACAGAGGGAGAACACCGCGTGAAGATGGAGGCAGGGACTGGGCTGATGGCGCACCTGCCTGTCAGGGAACGCCAAGGAGAGCAGGCAACCATCAGAAGCTGGAGAGCGGCCTGGAACAGATGTTCCAGGGGAAATGTCTGTTGTAAGTCCAGCTTTACCAAGTTTGTGGTCCTCTGTTACAGCAGCCCTAGGAAACTAACACAGAGACTGACGTTAGGAATCCTTTGCTGTAGACGCTCCTCCTGAGACACTCATGCCAGGACCCCGGCGGGCTTGGGGCCGAGGATTCTGGGAGCTGGGAAGGGAACAGCAGTGGGCTCATTCTACCGAGAAGCTGAGGGCACAGAGTAAAGTGTGACCTGTCCAAAGTGTGAGTCTGTGAAGGTAAGACGAGAACAAAGGAGTCGGTTCATTCATGCGTTCACTCACTCATTCACCTCCTACTTGGGGGGCCCTAGTATGTGCCAGGCTCTGGGAACACGAAGATACAGAGACTAGAGCCAGCCCTGCCCTGCCCTCAGGGAGCTTGCAGCTGAGGGGTCTCCTGCCCCTCAGTGAGGAGGTTGGGTCAATGAGGACTAAGTTTTCTTCCAGCTCTGACATTTGGTGGCTGGAAAGGGAGCAAGGAGGGCGGCCTGGCTGGGAGCCACTGGGCTGCCACTGGGGTATTTTGGGGGGCCACTGCTATCTCTCTGCCTGCAGGGGACGTGGAGCTGGACCCCTGCTTTCCTCCGCAGGCACTAAGGGTGAAGCGTGCCTTATTGGAGGGCCACAGTGGTGGGGGACAAAGGCTGGGCCCTGCCTGGCCATTGCAACCACTGGCGGGACACTGGGACGCTGGATGCGGTGAGCTGGGCCTCAGCAGGCACCACTAATAGTACAAGACCGCAACATCTCGAGAATATTTTCAGCCCGTTTGCACTTATCAAATATCACACTGGAAACCCCAGAAATGTCCATCGCATCCTTTCCAGAATGAGGGCGATTTTACAAATCTGGCCTGGTGCAGGGTGAGTTTCTTGGAATTTTAGCCTCGGAGTGGGCCTGGCCTCCCTGTTGTGGTTCACCTGCCTGGGTCCCCAGGGCTCCAGCCCCTCGCCGGCCCACCTGCCACATGCCCAGGTGGCTCTGGAGACCCACTCTCCAGCCACGAGGTGTCTGCGCTCCTCCTCCAGCTTTTTGGCTCCCTCTTCCCAGCTCTGGGAGTCCCGTGGCACTCAGCAGCTGGTGATTCTGGCAGTCTAAGAACTCCAGAGTTCAGGGCCCAAGGTCGCTGTGGCCTCCGCTGTGGTTTTTCTGAAGCTCCATTTCATCGGGGCCAGAGGTGAACCCTTTCCTCCAGAGACCCCGGCAGGCGGGTCTGAAGCAAAGTTCAAGGAACAGTCGCTTCCCCCATGGCTGGGGTGTTGGGCATCTGGCTCAGACGCAGCCTGACAGCACTCGGACAGGCGGCCCAGAAGCGGCCATGGGACTGGGGGGGGGGGGGGGGGTGGGGGGGGGGGGGGGGTGGTGCTGTACTGGAGAAGTGGCCCAAGGCAAGGCGCCGTGTACCCAGCTTCCCGGCTCGGGCTTCCCACCAGTTTAACAAGAGCCGTCATCATTAACTCCCTGAATGCTTTTATTAGAAGTTCCATGTTACCCGACACTTGAACATAATTAAAACAGAACAACCATTTGCAGTTAACTTTACCTTTTATGACCTCACAGATTTTTACAAGGATGTCCCAGAATGCCTTCTTTTCAAAGGAAAGCCAAGAGGTCTGCCAAGGGCCCCAAGAAAGTGCAGAGAGCGGAACCCTGAATCTCCTCATACTCATAAATGAGAAGATGAAAGAAAAAAAACATGTACTGTTTTTTTTATGGTCATAAAAGTAACACATGGTCACAGAGGACAATTTGGAAGACACAGAAAAGTATAAAAAAATCAAATAGAAGCCACCCGCAATCCCACCCCTCGAGACTACTGTCAGTGGTCTGTGGTGTTCATGCCCTTCCTGAGTATGAAAATATCTCTTAACATCTGCCCCTTTCAAAGAAAGGTAGAAATGGACTGGGACACTACAATTCATGCTTTCATAAACGAGGCTCTAAAATGTGTCCTATTTCACGTAAATTTGATATAGGGATCAGTAAAAAGAATCAAATGAATGAATCCACAAGTAAGTGAGGGCCTGCTTTGTGTAAAGTACTGTGGGGGGATTAGAGATACCCATGGCATGGCTCCTGGCCCCGAGAAGGCAGAGGGAGAGGACAAGCAATGTGAAGAGTGGCTTTTGACATTTGTATCCTCAGTTCCTAGTGGAGCTCACTGTTGGGCCCTCTGCAGGGAGCTGCGTAGTGCCCAGCACAAAGGCTATTCATTATTCATTTACTGAACAGGTATTTACCTCATGCCTAGTCTGAGTCAGGGGGAAATATGTTCAGGTTTTGGAGCAGGGAACCATTGTGATGAGGGCAGCGTTTTAGGAGAATGACGTGGGCACAGGATTGCCGGCTGGTGGGGTGGTGGTTACCTTTATGTGTCCACTCCGCTAGGCCGTGGTCCCCAGATACTTGGTGAAAACAACAAGCTAGATGTTGCTCTGAAGGTTTTTTTTTTTTAAGATTTTATTTACTTATTTGACAGAGAGAGACATAGTGAGAGCAGAAACACAAGCAGGGGGAGTAGGAGAGGGAGAAGCAGGCTTCCCGTGGAGCAGGGAGCCCGATGTGGGGCTCGATCCCAGGACCCTGGGATCATGACCTGAGCCGAAGGCAGACGCTTAACGACTGAGCCACCCAGGCGCCCCCTGAAGGTTTTTTTTCAGATAAGAGTAACTTTTAAATCAGTAGATGTTGCGTAGAGCGGGTGACCTGCTGTGATGTGAGTGGCCCACATCCAATCCGTTGAAGGTCTTGAGAGAAAAGACTGGAGTCCCCTGAGGAAAAGGGAATTTTGCTTCCAGACTGCCTTTGGACTCAAGCTGCAATTTCAGACTTGCCAGCCAATTGCATGAGCCAATTTCTTAAAATCTCTGTGTGTGCGTGTCTGTGTGAGTGTTCATGTGTGTCTATTTGTTTGGGTCCACTGGGGGCTGTAGGCAGGGATGAGTCTGTCATGGAGTCCCCAGAAGAGGACTTGGTTGCTACATTTGCAGTCAGTTCAGACAGCTTGCTGGGGGCAACAGTCCACACCGGTCTGGGAAGCAGGCAGGAAGGGGGTGGGGGGCAAGTGGGAAAGCAGGTCCTGTGGTGTCTGGAGCTGGAACAGCCCACAGGAAAGGGGCAGGAGACTCAGGTGGGTTTGGGAAAAGGACAGCCAGAGGCCAAAGTGGTACAGAGAGGCCTGGGAGACAGTTCAGGGACATACACGCCTCAAATCTAGAGGTTTCGCTGCCTAGGGATGGGTTTTTGCCAGGACCGAGCAGGCTGGGACAGTAAGGGCCTGCACTGGGGGTTGTCTGTGGAGAGCGAGGTCTCGAGGTCAGGGCCAGGAATTGATTTGAGGACAATGGTGACTTCAGTTTGGACCTGTTGGGCTTGAGGAAGTCACAGAATAAGACTTTCAAGCGTGAAGAACAGGTAATGACCAGTGTCATGCTCCAGAAAGGACAAGGAGAATGAGGAATGGGAAAAGCCATTGAGCTTAATAGTTAGGTGGTCTTGGTAACCTCAGTGGAGGTGACAAAAGCTGGTGTGAAGGAAGGAGGCGGTGGGTAATCGTGGTAGGAGGGGAGCAGCGGTTGTACTGTGCTATATGGAAAGGAAAAAAGAAAACAGGATCATAACACGAATGGACAGCAGAGTTGAGTGATGGGAGCCCAGTGCGTGTTTGAATTAAGAACGAAACTCAATCATCAAGATATTTAGCCCTGATCTCATTAAGTACTTCCTCTGAGAGTTAGCAAACTGATATCCTTTAATCATGCCTTATATTTATAAAGGCCTCTCTCCAAAGAACTCCAGGTGCTCAATAAACATTAATTAATTCGCTCTTGCAGCCTCCTTTAGGGAAAAGTTGGTGGCAGGTATCATCCTTATGTTTATGGGCACGGATATTGTGGCGGAGATGAGAACCAAGTTCATGCAACTAGTCAGGGTGCGAGGTGTCATACCTGGCTCTCCCCCTTCTGCTTCTAGGCCATTCCTAAGTCACCCACATCTTGCCAGGACCCCCATGTTACTGAGGAGACTTGGCTCTGAGACAGACCAACTACAGGGTTCATGCTTTAGAGGGTAGCCTCAGGATAATCCCCGGGGGGGTCCTGGGGCTGCCAGCTGTGGGGCTCCGGGAATGAAGCTAGTGTTTGCTTAGTCCTGGGCCATATGGGGGCCTAAGCGGCTTACTCTGTCTGCTGAGTCCTTAAGGGTCACAAACAAATGCTGAGTCTCAGCAACAACAAAATTGCCAAACTCAAGAAAGCATGCAGTTGTTCTGTTTGTGTTTCATGGGTACTCTCACATGGGAAATTCTCCAGTGCCTTCTAGTAGGGAAATGCCCCCGGTCTTTATGCTTTGCACTGTGCAAGATCCAACCATTTGCTCAGAAGCCAAATGATCTCTAAGTGCCAATAGTAATCAAGGACAGCCCACTAAGATGATTTAGTCGCCTCTGGTGGTGAGCTTGGGCTTTATCGGGCCAAGAAGTGAAGGGAATCCCCAAGATCCCAATGGTGAAGTTGGTCTGCAAAGCCCCCCAGCTGTGGCAGATAGAGGGACAATTAACCTAAAGTCATGCTGTCCTTCCAGGATTGGGCCTGCCGACACCTGCTGAACTCTGTGAGCTGGCAATACTAAGACTCCTAGCTAATGAACACTGGCTCTTATGGGATCAGCTAAGCCGTTCACATTCCTAGTCCGGTGTTTATGCCACTTGGGTGGACCTGGGAAAATCAAGGGGCCACCGGCATGTTGGCCCAAAGCCAGGGTTTAATTAAGCCTTAAATCTCCAGTGATTCCACCAGGGGCCTGATCCTCGTGAGGCCAGCCAAAGGGAGAAGCATCCCAGGGAGCACTGGGTCGGCTTCTTTTGAGTCTTCCCCTCAACCCATTGTTTGGGGGAAGCCTTGCTTGTTAGTGCAAATAATCCCCTCAAAGTCACAGGGCAGCGTAGAGAAAACCGGAGGACCAGCCCTGCGCTGGAGCGGCCTAATTATGGCACCTCTATCACCGTGAGCGAGTTGTTTCCCACACCCGTCTGCTGCATTTGGTGGAACGTGGATATCCATGAGCAAAGAGAGGATGGATTAGCACAATAACACTTTACTTTCGAAGTTTCTGTTGAAGGATTCTTGGTGTTTGATCATAAATTGCCAAAAATAAGTCTTGTTCAGGAAATGGAATGATTAGGGATGACTATTTGAATTGGAAGGCCCAGAAGGTCCTATTACCCTGCAGGGCAGAGGTCTGGGACACACAGCCGAGGCCTAATCTCTGGGGGACCAGCAGCCCCCTGGGAAGGAAGAGAGTGATAAGAAGTGCTTCTAATGGGGGGAGGGACCTGGGATTTTCCGGGGATTTTTATCTTTTCCTTCATGTCCCCATCCCTCTTTCATAGCCTTGGAGCAGAGAAATCGCAGCCTTTTACCATTTAGGGGAAGAGGACCAGTGCCAGAATGGAAAGTCGTGGTGCAGACCCACCTCATGTCTGGATGGCCAAAGGTGAGAATATTTTCAAAGAACTGCTGGATGAAGGACATGGATGCAAGTGGACCACAGGTGGGGCTGATGGGATGGAAGATTGTGGGAAGAGAACTGCAGAGTCTCGTCTTTCTCTAGCTTATTTATTTTCTTATTTGAAGAGTGTAAGGGGTAAGTCCTCAGGTCTTGGGGTCAGATGATCTGAGTTTGCACTCTGGAAAATGCCACCTGGAAACCTGGTCCCACCCCATTTGGGAGCCCACCAGCCCCACAGTTCCTGTACCTACACGGAGTCAGTGGCTTTCCCAAAGAGGGTGGGGCCCGATTTCTGCCTTGTGGCATCTCCCTTCTGCAGCAGCTGGGGAGGTAGCATGCTAGCCTCCTGGATATTTCTGAAATGAGTTGTGACCTGTAACGTTAGGATGGCATCTGGCACGAAGTAAGTTTTCTGTGTTGTTAGCACCGTCCTCCTCCTCCTGAGCCTGGAGTTGGTTGAATATGGAGATTTGCCCATGCTGCCCTAGCTCCTGGCAGCCTCCCTGGGTGCAAAGAGTGTGGGAACAGGGCACTGGCCTGTGTCTGATGGCTCGCACTGCAGTGGGTCACAAAGGAGCAGCAAAGGGAGCGGCCAGCTCAGATAGGGCTCTGGAGATGAAAGCCACCGTGTTTGCCTTCCCAAAGTGCCGCTGTGTTCCTGAAGGCCTGCAGCTTCCTCTGCCCTGCTGGGGTTTTTTTTTTTTTTCTTCCCAGTTCCTCTCAGTGATATCTTAAGAGGCAAACTTCCAGCACTAACAGGAGGTCTTTTGTTCTCCTTTTCTCTAAGTAGACTTTAACCCAGTTACGACAGATGAGTCATTGTAAAAACAAACAAATAATAATACTCCATTTTCTTAAAGGCTCTTCCATGCCTGCTGACAGAAAAGGGGGAACCTGACACTGCACTGGGCCTTTGGGGCTTCTCCCTGCCCCAGCCCTATGGAGGCACAGTTCCGAAGAACCTTCCAGAACACACGAGAGCCCAGCACTGTGGAACTGTTCAGCAAGGCTCTGGCTTGTTTAGAATTGTGTCTGATTTGGGGTGGCCCTGGGGGCTCCGAGGAATTTTGGTCTCTGCACAGTCCTGCTTGAGATTTACAGTCCTGGATTCAAGTAAATTCTGGACTTACCTCCCTTCACACATTATTTATATGTGAAACAGGGTTATTAGACACGTGATGATTCTATTAGGAAGGACTTTGCAGTAGAATATCTTCCGCTCTGTTAGATGACATACAAGTGCAGTCCACATCTATTCAATAAAAGTTCACCAGGCACTTGGGCATTGGGGTTACAGAGATGAGAAAGACCCACTTCCTGCCCTCAGGTAGTTAGACATATAAGTAAATGAATACAGTGACTTCTGATACAGGTGAGATGCAACATGTGCCAAGATGGGGTAAGAAAGGGGATGACATTTCTATCCAGAAATATTGGGAAAGTCTTCTTAGAGAAGGTGGCATTTGAGCTAAGTCTTGAACCATGAGGTTCCAGGAGGAATGGGGCGAATATGGCAGGAAGAGGGAGAAAGGGGCATAACAGAAGGACTGAGACCCAGGGCAGGTTGGGACTCACCCTGTGCAAACCCTCTCCAGTCTTCGTCCAGGCATTTTTGCCTACATGCTTAAGTAGAGCTGGACCCTCACTTTCCTAAGAAGGAGCCAGCTCTGGATGAACATGCCCAGGACTCAGGTCTGAGATGTCTTCTGGCTGCATCACCCATTAAGGCCTGTGTAGGGCCACTAGCCCCCAGGTTCATTGCTAGAGTACAGCGATGGCTCCTGAGGGGTGATGGGATACATGTTCTACAGGAGGCTGTCACCCACTGTGTCCTACATTCTGGAGCTCAGATGCATAGTGCAGTACACTCATGTCCCCAGTGAGAACATCAGTCTAATTGCCTGGAAAATTCCTACTCATTATTCACCTCAACTTACAAGTCTTCTTTACTGTGAAGAGCTTCTAGAAGCTGTGGGTAGAATTAACAACACTCTTCTTTGTGTACCCGTGGCTCGTTCTTCTTACCTTGCTTTAGGCTTTAACCATAATCTATTATCATTTCTCACTTTCCCTGAGTTCCCTTCTCCTGGGTTGTGAACTCCTGGAGGGGATGGTTGGTAATGCAGAGTATTTGGTTCATGTACATACAAGGTGTTCAATAGATGTTTGTTAAATGGACATGTGAATGAATGAATGAGGTTTGAGTTGGTGTGTTTTGCATGGTCTGACAATGATATCAACAGAAAGTTTCACCTTCATCATCTTTGATAATAAAATGATAGGGCCTAAGGATTTCCTACTAAAAGCATCACTTTGTGCATAAGTAGATTTCTCACCCCGAATGTACTTTCATTGAGAATTTAGATTAAAATCAGATTGAACCCTATGGGGTTCTAGGGCCAAGAGAACCCTAGTCTACTTTTCCAAGCTGACTTCCCTGCTATAGCCAATCCTTGGAACTGAAGCAGTGAGGCTCTTTAGTTTAATCTGTTGTTTTCATCCCCTGAAATACAATTCTTTATTTCTGTGTCGATCATCTGAAAAGTGAACATCTCCCCAGCTTGTGCTCTGGCAAGGATAGAGAAGGGTAGACTTCTGTCCAGCAGGGTCAGGCTATTCCCTTTCTCTCTCTCTTTCTTTCTTTCTTTCTTTCTTTCTTTCTTTCTTTCTTTCCTTCCTTTCTGCCTTCCTTCCTTCCTTCCTTCCTTCCTTCCTTCCTTCCTTCTCTCTCTCTCTCTCTCTTTCTTTCTTTCTCCCTCTCTCACTCCCCCCACCTCTTTCTCTCTTGAAGAGTCTTATCAAGGGCCAGGATGGTGGGAGCCTTATTCTACAGGGTAAGTGCTCCTCAGCTGGCCCTTCCTTGCCCACTCTTTATTCCCCCACGGGCAATCAAGAGTAGAGGGCACAAAATGAAATCAGTGGTAGGGCTGGGGTGATCATAGCTGCTGGGGATGGACCTCAGACTCAGTGCACAGCCTGGCCCAGCCTCTGATTCTTTGCTTTGGGATACTGCAGGGCCCTGCTTTTTCAGACCTCATCTCCTGGCTTTAAAAGGATGAGTAAAAAAATTCCAGGAACAGGCTTGGTCTCAGACATGAGATGGTTAATTACTTCTGCGAAAATGGAAAACTTCGTCTCCTGATATGTGCAATGACAGGCACCAGAGGAATTTTCCAGGACAAGAGAGGAATGAGTTTTCCAAGGACAGCCTGACTGAGAAAAGCCACCATCTGACCATGCACGAGAATTAGGTAATGCAGTCCCCCCCAGAGACGGCAGGGATGACCAGCTGGAATAGCAGACCGCGAGACAGTGACGCTCCCTGCTACCTTCTAGGTGTGTCGCCAAGATCTGCCACTGCCATTTCCAGTGAGGAGAAGGGGACGATCTTGACCATTCTGCTTCGGAAAGAAATGGTGATAAAGAAGAGCTAAAACTAGATGGGTTTTTAGAAATCTGTGACAGAAATGGTGTGTACGATGGCCTGTCTCTATTCAGCAGCAGATTTTACAGTGGTTTCCTTCCATGAAATCAGTTATTGCTCCCTTTGTCCACTCTCAGGCCCCCCTCTATGCAGGACGCTGTTCCGTGAACCAGGCAAGCAAAACCCAACTGTGTCAGTCCCTTAATTGTGTTCTTTCCAGTTCCCTTCCTTGTCCTTCCACGGTTCTCCCAAGCCCTCCCCTTCTAGCTGCGACAGCAGATTTTCACAACTCGGAGGGATAGGGTGCAGTAAAAAGGCTCAGGAGAAGGGATGATTCACCCTCATGTTTGAAAACCCACGGAGCAGCTGTTGAGATTTGTAATTGTTCTCTGTGAGCCCCTATCTACTCATTTAAGATCCCGTGGAGACGTTTGTTCCTGGTTAGAAGAAAAATTGGTTTTGGTACCATTAATTCCCAGTGCCAGGTGGGAAGGAAACTTTTCCAAAGCTGTTACTGTCAGTGAGTAATTCACCTTGGTGATGTTGCTTAGGACATCAACAACTCTGTGCCTCTTGCTTCTTAAATATCTGTTGTGGGAAGGGCTGAGAAATTTGAATTTCCAAAATAAAATAGAGAATAGACATGGGATAAGAAACAGGAAACCCATTTTCTGGCCTTTAAGACAATCTTTTTTTTTTTTTTTTTTTAATTTTTTTCCCCCAGGTTTTGGAATAATATATGTTCATGGAAGAAAATTTGAAAAAATAGAGACTGGGTCGCCTGGGTGGCTCAGTTGTCTGGGCATCCAACTCTTGATTTCAGGTCAGGTCATGATCTCAGGGTCATAAGCTCAAGCTCTGAGTTGGGCTCCTTGCTGGGCATGGAGCCTGCTTGAGATTCTCTCTTGGCCCTTCCCTCCCCCCCAAAAAAACAAAAAATAGAGACCAAAATAAAAACAGTCAAGCCAAATCTTATTACCCAGAGACAGCACAATTAACATTTTTATACATATTCTTCCAGTTAAAAATTATACACAATACTTTATTCTTACAAGACTGCTATGTTCTGTCCATACTGCTTTACAATTTGCTTTTTCCTTTTAATGATATGTTGTGAATATTTTCCCATGAGATTAAGCCTTCTTCTAGCACATAATTCTAATAACGGCCCACTATTCCATCATACAGATGTTTGTGTAACTAATACCTTATGGGTGACATTTAGGTTGTATCTATTTTTTTAAAAAAGATCTTATTTATTTATTTGAGAGAGAATGAGAGAGAGAGAGAGCATGAGAGGGGGGAGGGTCAGAGGGAGAAGCAGGCTCCCTGCTGAGCAGGGAGTCCGATGCAGGACTCGATCCTGGGACTCCAGGACCATGACCTGAGCCGAAGGCCATCGCTTAACCAACTGAGCCACCCAGGTGCCCCTAGGTTGTGTCTATTTTGTGTTATTTTAAGTAACATAATGTACATGCTGGGACACTAACTCAGGCTGTTCCATTGTCCCGGTCATCAGTCATGTAGTCCTTCCTCAAAAGCCATTGGTCATTTTGTGGGC